CGCATATACCCGTAAGGGATTCCCTGTGCTGTGTCATTGTTGTAGTGTGGAAATAAGAAGGCTTCCACTCTATAACACTATTATAAAAACTAATTTTATAAAATGGATACTAATATTGAAGTATTTAGACAGGTAAGAACTTCTAAGTAAAAAGTATTACCAATTAGATCATCAAAACAAACTAAAAAAAAAATATTAAACTGATCTAATAATTAATTAAATTATTTGAATTGGAAATCTAAAGAACAAACAAGTGTATATTAAAGTAATTTAGATATATTGTAAAGTAGATATTAAAGTTTGAATAAACTCTACAAGAACATAGTAGTTTAATAACTAGTTTTAATTATAAGTATTGGTTTTATTATAATAATAATTATAAAAATAAATATAGAGAACTCTAAAAAGTTATCTCAAAAATAAAATAATTTTAAGCTTAAGATAATAACCTAAATATGATCTAGTAATATAAATACAAATGCAGATTTAGAGTGTTTAAAATAGAATATTCAAGCAGAAATGTTAGATATGATAATTGGTAAGAAATCTTTATACAAACTTCTTAAATAGATAATTTTTTTTGTAATAATTCATAAAATTATATTACCAAAAAAATTGTTAATAAAAATTAAAAGACAAAAAAATTACCTTAATACCAAAAAAAATTATATATATGTATTTATTTGTATTATATAAAAAATGCATTATAATACAAATATATTATTTTAAAAAATTTAATATATATATATATAATTTTATATTGAACAAATTTATTTAATAAATCAAAATTAGTTATTTTAGTAACAAATCATTTATTTTTAATATATAGTTAACTTATTTTTATATTAAAATAATCTAATTTTGTTTTCTAATTAGTATATAATTTTATATATAATAATTATTTTAATATTAAGAAATATGATAATCTAGGGAAGTAAATAGGTTATCAACTCTCAAGTGGCAGGTTTAGAGTTTAAATTCTAGTAATAGTGAAAATTTGCAATTCTTTCTGTGTTATAATTAACTGTCTTCTGTAATTAGTTAGAATAAGACATCTATAATTCATATTATACTAGTATAACTGAAAGGTTTAAACATTTATGTAACATTATATAAAGGAACACAAACCAGTACTGGGTGATATGAATTCAAGATAAGTCCTTAGGTCATATAAATCACAAGAATCAGATAGAAAGATAGAAATCTACTTGGAAGACCCAAATAGAGAAGTAATCCAAACCTTTGACAGTGTTATTATAAAGACTAAACCTATGAAATAGAACTAAAATTTGTAAAACTAGACAAAGAACCAGCTTTTAAAATGAGGTAAATAAAACCAACCAGACTACCAAGATCTATTTTAAAGGAAAAGGTTATATATTAACAAAATATATAAACCAAAAATATATAATTATGATTTACCTTTTTAGGCTATCTGGTTTGGAAGCTTAATGGAACTTGAATTAAATACCAAAATAATAAGAATATGTTGTGAAATCAGTACTAGAATTGGAGTAAACTCTACAAGAGCATAATGGTTTAATAGTACACCCTGACTATCAGTATTGATCTTGATTATAATAATACTAGATTAACTGTAAGAATAAGATACAGAAGATTCTAAAAGGTTTAGTACAAGATCAAAGGTTTCTTATGTGAGTGAACTGCTTTAAAGACTTAGTGATCATGGCATATTTTCACTGACATCAGTCAGGGTCATTGGTAGACAAAGGTAGGTAAATGGATATAGAAACTAGAATAGTTAAATAGGAAACTTACAGGCAGGTTCCAGGTATAGCAACTAGTGTAAAACCTTTAGGCGAACTACTTAAATTAGACAATGACTAAAGTTGTATGAGTGGCTAGTTGTACACTCTTTCCATGGTTGCCTCCTGTGGTTGTAATGCAACCATTAGCCAAACATACTATCAATAATATTCTGAATCACAAGTACTTATCTTAATATTTAAAAAAAAAAAAAAAAATTTTAATATTAAAAAATAATTATTTTTGGAAAAGTTACCTCTTCAAAATAAACAAACTTAGCAGAAGTTTAGTTTTAGTTTTTAAGTAATTTTTATTATAAGCAGCATTCTAAAGAAAAATGTTCTTTATCTGTAAACTGTAAAATTGAATTTATTAGCCAATCAGACGAACTCCTGCCTACGAGACGGACAATAGCCTTTGACAATGTCACAGCTCAAACCAAATTTAAACTGCGGTTCAGCACAGTCCACAATATAAACTAAAATTTCGTATCTCTCCGGCACATGTTTCTTCGCAAAATATAATCAAAAATGGACCAAGCCGTATACGAAGTTCTTTCACGCGTTCTTTCACCAGATCCCAATATACGAATGTCGGCTGAGCTAAGACTAAAAGAACTATGTAACGTTCCTGGTTCGTCAAATTGAGTCAATTAATTACGTGTTGAGACGCGTTGGCTGGTTTACTTTTAATCTACTCTCTATAACTCAGTAATCATAAATTAATATAGAATATCCCATCAGCCTTGCCAAAATGACTATTTCACAAGACGTGGACATATCATACCGTCAAATATCCTTTAATTCTTTCGATATAATAATATTAAAACAGATTTGAAATATTTTTGTTCAATTCTTAACTACTTTTTTAATTACTCTGCAGTAATTAATTTAAAAAATTATGTGGTTTCTCATTGGTCTTCTACCTCGGAAACGTTTGTAGGGATAGAAACTACTGAAGAGGTCTGTCTAATAGCTACTTTGAAATTCGCCATCAGTTATAAAATATTTAGTCCTTTAAAAGATTTTCTTGGTATGAATCATGAAGGTAAAAGCAATTGTACGCGAAATTATATTTAACGGATTGTCTGATCCATCAAATAAAATCCGGGTTGCATCGGTATTTATACTTATATTTATTCATTAATTAAGCGAAGGGTAGCTTTTCTCTGAGTGCACAGAGATCGTAGCATATATTTTTAGCTTTGATTATTAAAATTACTACTAATATAATTAATATATAGGCATATGTCATATCAAAAATTGCACATAATGATTGGCCTGATTATTGGCCTGACCTCTTAGACTTATTAATATCTCTTTTAAAAACTGGCTCACCAGAGCAAGTGCATGGTGCAATGAGAGTTATGACTGGTATAGCCAATTTTACCTAATTTTTTAATTCATACATCATTTACCAAATTATTGTCCTGAAGAATTATTGTAAATTATAAGAATTTGTCACACACGATATCACGGAAATCCAATTTTCTCAAATTGCACCCATATTGCTACCAGAACTATTACGAATTCTACGATCCGATCAAGTGAGTTAGTTCTATCTATGTATAAATGATCAAAGGTGTGTGATGAGTTATTAAATAAGTTTTTGAAAAGGTTTATTCTTATAGAACGCGTGGACGATCCATAGCAATATTCAGACATTGCATCGAAATACTTTTTATATGTAAAGAGGAGCATCCCGAAGCAACAGAATCGTTTCTGATGGCACCTGTCATTCCAGATTGGCTACAAATTTTTATCAGCATTTTGAAGCAACACACTACGGATAATGAAGAACGTGAATTTGAAGAGTATGGTTTAAAATTGGAAGTAGTCAAGGCACGGATAGTCTCTAGTTTTTATGAATTCAATGGAACTATCAGCATTTAATTAATCCAAATGACAACTTTTTAGTGCTTAAATCTTATTATTAAATATTTTCCGAAATTACTTTCTTCATATTTGATCGCATTGTTGGAACCAATATGGCTAGATTTGGTCCATCAACGAGAAAGATATCCTAATTCTCATTTGATAGTTTTAATTGTTTAATGGATTTTTAAAAATTCCTTAACTCTTGTGTTTCCGTTTAATGTGACACATTCATTAATAATTTCATTCGCCCTTCAAGCGACTTTGTTAGCACTTGTCAGGATTCTGATGGTGAAGTTTTCGGTTTTGAATATTTGCTTTTTGCCCAATTTGAATTCGTCGGTCTTTCTGTTAGAAAAAAATCAGCAAAACCACTCTTTGTACAAAGTAATGGAGAGAGCACATTTTTGAAACAAGTCGTTTGGATAATTTTATCATATATGCAGATGACTAAGGAGCAGGTTACTAATTTATTGGTATTATATATTGTGGCAGCTTGTGCCGAAATTTTGCTGTATTTTATTATGAAATTATAAAATTTTTTGGACCTTTTTTGCGGTCTTTTTTATAGTTAGGTTAGGATTAAAGGGAAGTATTATTGATAAAAGAGTATATGTGAATTTTAGTAGTATTATAGATTTAAATTGAGACCCTAAATTTCGGCATAAACCGCCACATATATTGCATCAATATCAAGTTTAACATCAAATTATTTCTAGGTTGAAATTTGGTTAGCAGATGCCAATCAATTTGTTGCTGATGATGATGATGAGACATTTAATTTCACTGTTAGAGTTGCGGCAGGGGATCTTTTAGAAGTAAGCATTTAAGAAACTTTATTTTAACTAAACTTATGTTTAAATATAAATTCCTTTATAGATTTTGCTTGAAAAGTTTCCTGAAAAAACACTGCAAGCTCTCGCTGAAACGACACAACACCTTATCGAAGAATCTAACATAGCTCGTGCTGCAGGTGATAATGTATGGTGCGTAAAACATTTAATCCTTGAATTACAATAGATTTTTATTTTTTTCATCTTATTATAAATTGACTTATGGCTGTTACTGGATCATTCTTATTAAGAATCTGCTACTCTATATTTGATGGTCTTCAATTCGGCCTACGTGTATTACTTCATATAGGTGGAAAGTTCAAGAAGCTTGCCTTAAAGCTGTAGGATTTGTTTCTAACGAACTCGCAACAGTTTTGCAAGACGATGCTCCCAAAGTTAAATTTGACCTGCCTGGACTATTCGAGCATGTGGTTTTTGGTCATTTGACTGCAACAGGTGGGTGTGAAAAATTAATATCTTATAACAAATGAAATCAATTAAATTTATTGTTGTTTTTTTCTTTGAAGAATACCCTTTCCTTCAAGGGCGTGCATTTGTATTCGCCAGCCAATATGCAACACTGTTACCTGGTGAACTTGCATCGCGCTATGTATCTGAAGCTGTCTGTGCAATTCAAGGGGTTGGTGCTATACCTGTGAAAGTATCTGCTTTACGAGCACTGCAAAAGTACGTATAATGCTTAAAAGATATGCGTAATTTTTCTTTTATAATAATTTACATAGTAACTAATTTGTTTTTAGTTTCTGTCGTCATTTGGACGCTCAATATGTGGCGCCATTTCAATCCAATATAATCGAAAACGTTGCAAGTCTTTTAAATATCGTATCTGAAGACTCTCTAATACTCGTATTGGAAACACTTGAAGAGGCTATCAAAGTATATTTAAAATATTAAATTATAAAATTATTTTTATGTCACATAGATAATGGTAATTTATCTTTTTAGATAAATAATGAAGTGACAGCTCGGTATGAAAGTTTGATAGGCCCATTAATTATTGACGTCTGGATGAAACACCCTACAGGCAATTATTCTTGATTTATCATAATTGTTACAATTGCATTAAACTTAACTATTGGCTTTCTTAGATCACACGATTTATCCGATAGTGACTGATATTTTTGAAGAATTATCGAGCAACGTGAATGCACATTCTTCGTTTCAGGCTAGAGCCTTACCCCCTTTGGCCAATATACTGATTAACAACACTGATTCCGCCGTGACTGCGGTAAGTTTTGTAAATAATGTTACAAATAAATGAGCCTATTCTTATATAACGTAGTCTTAAAGTATTATGTTTTTAGTCAGCAATTGATTTAATAGCAAGTCTTGTAAAAGGTGGTCCTTCACCACTTCCATCACCATATATCGAACACGTATTTCCGCCCTTAATCCATTTGATGCTGACAACTGAAGATCGAAGCATTTTGCAGGTTGTACTGCAGTGTTTTTGATGTTTTTGTTGATAAATAAATCTAAGTATTTTTTTTTCTTTTTTTTTTGAAAAACAGAATGGAGAAATTTGCTTGAAATATTTTGTACAAAAAGATTGTGCACGGATTGCTGAATGGTAAATATGGCTTTTTCTTCGTTCGTATTTATGATTTAGGCTATTTATTAATTATTGATGTTGTAGGACTGATGTGAGCGGAAAAACAGGCCTAGATTATGTGATACAATTCATTGCCAAGTCGCTTCAGCCAACTGAAAGTGAATCAGCGACATTTTTTGGCGATTTGGTTGTTAAGCTTATCGAAAAGGTGCTTTATTGCTTAATGGATAATGTTTAATATATTTCATTTAATCCACATTCTTTTACACATTTACTATAGGCGGGTAACAGACTTTTACCTGTTCTTCCGGAATTACTCAGAGCGGTCGCAGTGAAACTGGAGAGCGCTCGTACTGCCACGTTTATACAGGTGTCTAATCTCTGATTATACTGAATTTGGAATATTTGTCCTGACCGCCAGCTTTATATTTTATGAAATAAATAATCTAATATTTTCATTTTACGTATTATAGTCCTTGCTTATGATTTTTGCACATTTGACTCTTAGCCAGAAATCTACTGTAATCAATTTCATGGATGAATCGGATATTAATGGTAGAAATGGTCTTGATATATTACTTAATACATGGCTTGAAAACCATGATAGTTTTCAAGGACACTATAATATAAAAATCAGGTATAGATTGTTTCCTAGTTGAGTTATGAATAAATAATGGAATTTACCTGTGTATAATTATATAGTGCTATTGCGTTGTCTGAACTTTTCTTATCCTGTGATCCGAGAATACAAAATATTAAAGTTAAAGGTGATTTAATTATAATGCCATCTTCAAGTATGTAAATTGTATTTTATTCATGCTCATTAAATAATTTTTATGTATTAATTTTGGCATACAAATTCTGTGTTGGATATTATCCTATTTCATTTGTTAGAGATAATGACACGCTCGAGGACTCGTCAAAGTATTATAGATTTTTTTTCCCTTATTAGGCCTTTAACAAATTCTTAAACTATTCTGCAATTATACATTAGATCCGCACCAATATGTTTATATTTCAGCAACCATAAAGATTATCAAATTACTTTTATCAGATCTCCAAAATGCGGCAGAAGGAGACAACCTAAAACGTTCTGAATTAGATGATGTTTTAGACGATGAGGAGGCTGTTGAAACTGATGATGACGTAAGTAACCTCGTTTATATTCACAAATATGACTTTACAATTTACTGATTACTTAATAGGATGATGAGTGGGAAGATGTCGAAGAGCCTTCTCCATTTGCTCCCTCGGAAGATTACATTGTTCTTTCAGGTAATAATTTGTAAAAATAACTATTCATCTTACCAAACTTTTAAACGTACGATCTTCATGTAATAGAATTTAATAAAATACGGGAACTTGAAGATTTTGAGGATGATCCTGATATTAAGGATAATCAAATTTACCATACCAACCTTAGAGTGAGTTGTAGTATGAGGGTTAAATGGGTTATCATGTGTTTTTATTGATTTTTGATTTATATGATACTTTAGGAGTACTTGGTGGACTTTTTCCGTCATTGTGCTTCTCATAATATAAACAATTTTGCGGAAACATGTTCGGCACTTAACGAAGAAGAGCAGCTTAAATTACGCTTTGTGATCACTGGCAGTCGAACATGATAATGCGCTGTTATCTGTAGCATCTACATTTTACAATTAGGTTTTCTAGGAATTTTTTTATTCAAATAGTATATGCAATTAAACTTGTTTCACAAAACTTCACATTTGATTATTAGGTCTCATCACTAGCGTCGGAGATCATTTAAATCGATATCTTGCAAATCAAAGATATCAATAATAAATAAAAATTTCTTAGTTAATTTTAATTGAAACTGTTGACATGTTTATTTTCAAATGAGCGATGTATTAATTTTATTTCATTTTTCGATAAATTTGAAATATTTTTGTCGTTGAAAAGTTTATTTATTTCGTTAAATGGGGATTCTATTTCATAAGATTTTTTAAACTTTTATTTAGTGAAGTTTAATACAAAAATCGCACTTGAATATATAAAATTAGCATAATATGCACATAATATATAAAATCAGTGTTGGTACTGGACATATGTTCAACTATTTTGGATTGGACTAAATACTAGACATAATACTTGGATATATGTTCTGTTTAATATGTTTAATAATCTTAAAAAATATAAAAAAATAATTTTGACAAAAATAAAGTTATGTAAAAAGTTTTTTTTAAAAGTAAATTATTTTTCATATGATTTAGATGGTATAATAGATTTTTATATATATAATAAATTAAAATATATTACTAAAAGATTTATATACACATTTTTTTAAATATATAAAATTTTGAAGTAGAGTAATTTTTTTTATTAAAAATAAGTAAATGACAAAGTAAAATTATTTAAAGCATTCACTAAAACAAGGATTTTGTTCTTGTTCTAAGAAAAAGATTCTTTACAGAGTTTCAATATACAAAAAATATAAAAATAGTAAAAAAAATGAACTTATTAAATAATAGAAAAAATTAAAAAAAACCTAAAAAACACATCAAGTTTAGCAAGTTTAGTGATAAATAAAAAAAAAATTACTAAAAATAATCAAAAAGAAAAACAGATACTAAAAGAATTTTTTTTAAAAAACTTAGCAAATTAGAATAAATAAGTAAAAATAAAAATAAAAAAAATGAAAATTTTTTAAGACTAAATTAAAAGCAAAGTTAATATATTTAAAAATATTATAAACATAACAATAAACAACATATATAAAAAGCAAATAATAACAAACAACATAGTCAAAATTGAAGATATAATAATACAAAAACTAAACAAAATAACAAATATACAAAGTAACAGTTTATTAAATAAAGATCAAAAACTAACTTTTAAAATGTCTAATAAAAAGAAAGTAATAACCAAGTAAGATTTAAAAAATACTTAACTAAACAATAGTCTAGTTTTTTTTTAGTTAAAAAAGAACAATTAACATATTTTTTCTTTATTCTAGAAGTCAAATTAGATTAAAAAATAAAAATGCATTAATAATAAATATTCAAAGAATTTACAGTTTTTTTAATAAAATTATGATCTCATTACTAATCTTAAAAGGAATATTTGCAATATTTTACAAAAAAAACACATATATTTAAAAATTGTATTCAACATTAAGTAAATCAAACAACTTTTTCTGCAAATCCATTATACAAAAATTGACTAAAAACTTTATTCATCAAAAAACACTTATAACTATTTATTTTACTAAGACAATCTGTCTTAAGCTTCTAAGTAAACTTGTTTATCTCTCGATTTTATATATAGTTTGCAAATATTAAGCTTTTATACTTCAAACTCATTGAGAAAACTGTACTGATGGTCTTTGGCTTCCAGTTAATAATTTTTAACTATCTCACAGTTTCTACTGCCTTAACCTGTTTTATACTCTTAAATAAAGTTGTAATATACATTTATTTGGTCAAAACAAGTTCTAAATAAAGATTTTGACCTAATATTGACCAAACTACAACTAAATTCAATATTTACATTCCTATAAAACTTCTTTTTTTATTTTTTGTTCCTATCTTGTTTATTTTTCACTTTACATGATTTTCATGTAATTATATAATTATTTTCCAATCCATACCTTATTAATTTATACCAATATTCTGTAACCAATCTATTAATAGAAACCCATTCATACAATTAATTACTTTTATATTCAGTTCTTATTAATATTACACAGTATTTGTATTACAAATCCTACTTGTATTCAGTATTCAAGTCACATTAGTGACTCTATTTACCTTTGTTACACTTTTATGTCATTTTAGTGACACCTCTAAACTACAACCTTTATATCTATTTATAACCCTTATAAATTTAATAATATACAACTATATTCTCTCTTTAGAAAATATACTCAAGTCTAAAACCTTTACTTAGTGTTAATCTATAGTTTTTCTTTTAACTATAATAATAACAGAAGCTGCTCAACTATAATATGATGACTATAACTTGACAGATTCTATACAAAAGTCTATATAAGACTTAACAAAATACAGAGTGATTTGGGATTTTAAGGCAGAGTCAACAATAGATAGTATATAAAGATACTAAATATTGTATTCAGTTTATTAATTATGAAATATATGAAGACACTTTCTATTGAAGTATATGGAGACACTTCCTATTGAAATGTATAGAAACACTTAGATAAAATGTAAGAGCATTTAATTTTCTTGAAAGATCAGAAAGTAGTGTTTTTATAGATATTTTATATATATAAATAATTACAATAAAGACTACTTTATTGCTAATAAATACTATTTATAGTAATAAGAACTAATAAATATAATAGATTTAATATATATAATAGATATAGTAGATATAATAGAAATGATAGATCTAGGAGTGTGACAACCTAGTAAAGTGGTCAGGTTGTCAACCCTCCAAGTGATAGGTTAGGTGTTCAAATCCCATCGACAGTGAAAATTTGGATAATCATCTATATAATATTCATATTACAACAATTGTTACTAATGATTGGGTTAGGATACCTGTAATGATGGTCACACTAGCATGACTGGTAGGTTATGAGGCATTCATATAACAGATCACATGACATTGTTCTTTGAAACAAGGTTGTGATTACATAAAGAAATGCAAACTGGCAATTAGGTAGTGCAAACATTAAATAAGTTCTTGTGGCTATGTAAATTCATTGAAATTAGGTAACAAGAAGTCCATTTAGGAAAACCCAAGTAGAAAAGTAGCCAGATCTTCAATAGCCCTACTGTAAAGGCTAGTTTTATGAAACAGATACCAAGGTCGAAGTAGCTAGATAGGCAAAAACCTCTAGATGATGGGTACCACCAATCAGACTGCCAGATCGAGCCAGAGAAAAAGAATATCAGGCTGATCTGATATACTAATGAATTGGTTGTAAGTTCTATTGGGCTATCTGAATTGAGAGTTTGGTAAACCAGCAAAGGTATATTAAAGTATTTCAGATATGCTGTGAAGTAGATGTTAGGGTTTGTATGAACTCTACAAAGGCATAGTAGTTTAATGATCAGTCCTGATCATAAATGTTGGTTCTGTCATAGCAATATTTAGATTAGCTATAAAAATAAGTACAGAAGACTCTGGTGGGTTTATCTTGAGGATAAATTAGTTCTAAGGTAGAGACGATGATCTGGGCATCTGGAATAACCCAGTAATGTTAATACAGATTACAGGTTCAGAGGATTTAAAGTAAAATACCCAAGTAGGAGTATTAGGTACGCAATTGGTAGGAAACCTTCGGGCAAACTTCTTAAATAGGTAATATAGAAAAGTTATATATATAGCCAATTGTATGCTCTTCTGTAGTAGTTCATTGAACCACAATACTGATAAGTAATTAATAAAAATCAAAAGACCAAAGAGATCACTTTAATACCAAACAAAAAAAAAAGAAATGATAGATCTGTTAGAAATAATAGATCTAATAGAAATGTAATATCTGTAATATTTGTAAGATCTGTAAGATCTGTAAGAAATGTAAGATTTCTGGCACAGTAATTTGAACCAATCAGAATCAAGTTACATGTATTAGAATTAGTACTTTTCATCAAAATCATCATAATCTCATGATCATGTTATCAGAATCATATGATCTTGTACTTATTAAAATCATCTTAGTGAGCTGAATCCAGTGGTGGTTTTTTTATTCAAATTGGTTTATTACATTAAAAGTTATGATCAAAAATGTATAAAACTCTTAATATTAATATTAGCTTGTTATCTTTCAACAATGCCTATCTTAAGTTAACAAGAACCAAATACAGTAGATCTTGATTATTTTTATCAAAACTTTTCTAACAATTTTGGAATTATCCTTTATGAAGAAGATAACAACAACAAGGCTCACCCAATTCTCTTCAAAATTTAACTTACTATCTGCTTAATAAAAAATCATAGATTAAATAAGATTATCTACTTTTTTAAAACTCCTATCTCTATTTCTATAATTATTAGTCTCTATAACAAATATCATACCAAATTTATTTCAATTTCAAATACCAATTATATTCAAATTACTGAATTTACAACTGCTTATATCAATAGTAATTCCAAAAAAATTAACAAAACAATTCAAGAACTTATGACTAATCTCTCTTTTTTTATTGACAATATCCCTCCATCTTCTATATCTGATATACATTACTATACTTGTCCTAAATGTTTTTTTCCAATTAATTATATCAAAAAAAATAAGCATCATTATTCTACTAAAAAATACATTTCTAAAAATAATAAAATCTATCATCTTACTTATATGATGCTTTATTTTAACATAAAGTTAGTTCATCTAAAACCAAGAAAAACCTTATACAAACTTTTTAAAACATCTTATATGAATTTTCTTAAACTACCAATTCTTTTACTGCTTCTCCCCATCAAACCTCAACTTTATCTAATTTTATCAATTCTTTTTTTTCTATAACTACTAATACTAATCTTAACTTCAATCAAGTCTTTACTACTAATACTCTTAATACTTCTAATCTAAATCTCAATAAGACCAATAACACTAAACATTTCTAAAAAATCTTCTTCTCAATCATATTCTAGTGTTCTCAAACCAAAATCTAATCCTACATATAACTGGATTGCA